AAAACGATCAGGGATGCGTTTTCAAGAATGTACACGCTCTGTATCGTATACGAGAGTCATTAATTGGATTATTCTCGTGATACTTGTTTATAAAAAAAAAAAAAAAAAAAAAAAGAAAGAAAAGACAAATTATAGGAATTATAGGAACGATAATGGTATATATTGTATTCCCGTTGCATTATTCGTTTCGGAAGAAAGGCGATATTGAAGAAATATGCTGTATATGTACGATAGACCGCGCGCCACGCATTCCATTTATCAATCGAAGATATTTCAAAGATCCGGCTCGATAATACCGCCAAACCTATACAATACCACGGACAATACTAAGATTATTCGAGAATGAAAATGAAGAAAAATTTTATTGAGAAAGAAAGAAAGAAAGAAAGAAACAAAAAACTGTAGCTTACTTACGTTTCTATACAACAATAAGTATTCATTAACGTTAACCGTAATATTAGAAATGTCAAACGTGAGAGACATGTACGCCGTTAAGTATAACATTAAACGACGGATCGTGAATAAACGCGATAAGCCGTATTGAAATAAGCCGAAACGTGGCCCTGTTTACACACTCGTATGAAAGACACGGGGAAGTGTAGCAGACACTGTATGTAAATACATAATATACGCCGGTATATTCCGCGATACGTTCCGCTCGATGCTTTTTTACCTTTTTCGTTCCTTCGAGCGGCACACGGCCGCCTTTCTTTCTTGATTTCTCAAAGGCAGCGATCAACTATGGAAATTTTGTAACTAGTACTCGAACCCGGCCAGAGAGCAGACATCCGTGTAATTCAAAAGTACGGATTTTATTGGATCCCGTTCTACACAGTTTTATTGGCGTATCCCGTATGAAGCGATCGGTGACATCCCCCTTTGAAGTTATTTACATATTTATAAGTATACTATGGGCACGGCTATACGGTATATAACCGTGACGGTACGCCGGTGCAGACGATGCATAAAACGTATGTACCATCGTACCAATGTTAATTCGGTGTAAATATTATCAGATGCAAACGATCGTTTTGATCGATTCGATCAATTGTACTTCCCATTTAATTAGTTCCTGTTTAATATCAATCGGAATTATAGATAAATCATAGATAATACAGTTTATTCGATTAATATTTGTGGAACAAATTAAAAAGAAGATTTTAGAAACGGTTATTAAAACTTTGACAAACGTCCGATTTATTTTGACGTTTACGATACAATTGATTTTTTTTTCTTTTTAATTTAATAAAATAATAGATTCGTTCGATAAATGTTCAATCTATCGTATCGAGATGTTCTGTTCGTCGTAAGGTCCATTTCTCCTGAATTCTAGAAATGTTACCTTTCAAATGCAATTTTTCTGATTAATTAACCGATAGCTCTCGAAATCAATTTCAGCAGCAATTAAAAGATTAGTCATTTGAACCGAAACAATTTTTCTCCACGAATCTAAAGAATATATCCTGGACGAGAGTAAAAACATAAGACTAAGAACAAACGATGCATGTTCTCGACATGTTCTTAAATCATCATCGATCAAAAAAAAAAAAAAAAAAAATTTCACGTGCCGATTCGAATTAAATTCAAATATAATTCAAATTTCGATTGAAATTCTAATTCAAACTACGCAAACATTCAACTTTCGACAACACTATTCCGTGAAAACAGAGTATTATATTTATTTTACTATATATACGGTACGAAAGGGGAAACGGATCGCAAATATGAAGGGGAAGAACGATCTTGCATCGAAATTTTACGGTTTTGAATGAAAGGAGAAAGTGAATCTACGACGAAGAAAAAAATGCAATATCGATTGAATATTAGAATCTGAGTGCATGCAAAATCAACGAGCACACATTAACTCCTTTGACTTGCTAAATAGGTTAATTTGAATGTTTAAATTCCAGGCCCGTTCAACTCAATTTGCGAGGACTCTGAGTCTGTTTAATTCCTTTCCTTCCACTATCCAGACAGTACTTGCATCAACTACCACTAAGCCAGGCCAGCTGGCCTGTTAACTTCCAACACGTTTCGAGCGGCCGACATACGGAAACGTCCGACAGCCCCTCACACGGATGCTTAAACGGGCCATGTGCTTCCTATATCGTTTAACTAGAGACTGCCACCTGTGCTTTAACACTGTAATTTTGTAACATTTCGTGCCTCCCTTCTAATTATCCTACTAAAAAAGATGACAAGTCTAAATATGCTTGTCACTGGTTGCAATATTGCAGCTTAATTACAAGAGGACTGTGTGATCAGATATTGCAATTACGATTCCAATTAAATATGACGTAATAAAAGATGAAAGGGATTCGTATGAAATATAAGTTGTATCAAAAAAATTCTTTCAGTATTATCAAATATCTAATATTATTGTTACTATCACCATTAATTATTACGATTTTTGATAAAATTTGATAAAGAGATATGATAATTATATACCTTTAGATGATATATTGACCGGGAGAGCGCGAACGCAGTCCCGACTAACAAAAATTGTACGTCCGAGATACCCACATTAGGGGTATTCGCAGAGGTCAGCCCAACCGTAGTGCAATGGAAGAGCCTCACCCTGGAGGAACCGCCTTTATGATCACGGTAACCTCTACGCCAGGTAAGTATGCTTTTATCCGATGCTTCGAGTGACTTAAGCCCCTACAATGCAATTGTAACTGCGAGAAAACCTGTGCACCTAGCACTACATAACGGAAATTTTTGGAACTAACGACAATCGATCGAATTTTAACCCTATCTCTATTTTACTATTAATTTACTAATTTATACTTTAGGTTTAAAATAATTTCTTTAGTAAAATCTATTTTAAAAAAATTAGAAAATTGTACAATTAAAAACATTAAAAATTATTACAATTAATTATTTGTATCGCATGTAATATTGTAAGTTGTAATTTGAATTTCTTGGAAGTTGTAGTCTACTGTATATAATTTGGCTGACTATTATCGCCGGCACAAATACGTGAATTAACATTGAGAATGTTCATTTGAATACGGAATCATTATTAGGCGTATGTACGTGCTTAGACATTATACACGAAAACGAGACACAAAGGTAATATTTAATCACTTCATACATATAATGGTGTAGTAATTACAGAATATTATTACTTTGATAAGTACTTTGAATGAGATAATGATTACGAAACATGAAATATACAATGCTAAAAATCATAAATGAAATATTTGATATCAAATATCAAAGTAGAAGTAGGATTTAGATAATTTTACATCTAATATACTATATAATATAAAATATTTGTACGATACAGAACTTGTGAAATAATAAACAAAATTTGTTTATAAAAGTAGCTTCTTATTAACGTACAAATAAATATTTCAATTCTAAAGGGAGTAGGAAAAAATCAATAAAACGAACAAGTACAAACAAAAAAAAGATGTGTGCGGAAAGAATAAATACTTTTCTAAAATATTATTTACATAACAGATACATAACACGTTAAAATATGTTTAAGAAAACCATTAACTTAGATATGATATTTCCTTTTGATTATAAATTATCCGGGATAGCGCGAACGCAGTCCCGACTACCAAAAATTGTACGTCCGAGATATCCACATTAGGGATATTCGCAGAGGTCAGCTCAACCGTAGTGCAATGGAAGAGCCTCACCCTGGAGGAACCGCCTTCATGATCACGGTAACCTCTACGCCAGGTAAGTATGCTTTTCTCTGCTTCTTTGACTTACTTAAGCCCACAGCGTATAATTCTAGCAGCGAGAAACTGAGTATAGATAGCGCTACGTAACGGCGACTTTAGGAACTAACTACGTTTTACGAACCTGACCATTTATAATTTCTATTTTAATTTCAAAATCCAATTATTTAATGACAAATACAAAATAAAATTTAATTTTTCTTAATATTAATAAATTCTACTAATATTCTTTTAATAAATAATAATAAATATAATTAGAATAGAATATAAAATTTTTATTCTTATGATTGTTTTATATTATAATATAATATAAGCGATTCTTGCAACATAATTTATTAAATGAATGTTAAAGCATAAATAAAATTAAAATAAATTAATTAGTACGTAATAATAAGTTGCATTAACTATTAATAATATAATTATAACCTGCATAATAAACCTCATCGGTGAATATTTCAACATTAAAACATGCATTACAAAATATTTTAATAACATTTATAAATATTAATTTTTAATGAAGACATACTTCTATTATGACTTTTTACGTTATAAGATAACAAGAAATTTAAATAATCTATAGAAATTACTATGCAAATTATTCATTCATTTTTCACTATTGCAAAATTGTTTATTTTTCTCATTAAATTAAATATATAAAAATAGTCAGGATAGCGAACGCTATTTTCCCGACTATCAAAAATTATTCATTCGAACACTCACGTTAGGGATATTCGCAGAGATCAATTCAACTACAGTGCAATGGAAGAGTCTCGCCCTGGAGAAACCGCTTTCGTGATCGCGATATCTCTCTACATCAGATAAGTATGTAATAACTTTTGTGTTTCATAATATTTTTATCGTATTTATCTAATTTATCTATTTATTTATTTATCTAATCTAATATTTTCAAAATCGAGGAATCAAAAGTCAATTAAAACACACCATAGCGACAATTTAAGAACTAAATAATTATTATGTAAATAAATCCTTTCCAAATCCAAGGATACGAGATTTCAAGGATATTTTTGATTGATGGCATGTAATGTATATATTCAAATTTGTGTTGTTAATATGTTTGTTAAGACATAATAATTTTTAATTTACATTGTACAAAATGGACATAATATACATTAACACACTATTGTATATGAATATCCATAGAAAATATTATTTAATTCCATATACGTACATACGTACATTTCTATTTCTATTAATTTCAATTATTTATTATTACTGCCTAATAATATTAATATCTCGATCATATGAAATTTCTATAATTTTTCGTAATACAAATAATACATATTTCGATGTAAATATATTTATTTTCCAATTTATAAAATATTCGCGTTCAAATTATTCATGTAGAACATACATGTCTATAATCTTCAATCATATTTCGTATATATCGATGCAACAAATTGCAAATGATTTACTAACCTCGTCGTACCCCCTCACAGCAAACAAGATGAAGCCACACCGACGAATTTACGAAGGCAAAAAAACTCCTTCAACATTTTCCATCCCGTAGCTTGTAGTAATCTGAAAATAGGTGAAACGTTTCGATTGAATCACGTTTATTTAATGATTCATCGTTATTACTTACTGTTTCTAAACGCTCTCACGACATGTTTGATCGTGTCATTCACGGTGACAGTCGAAATTCGTAGTATCAAACAGCGATTGTAACACAACATATGACAAACGCTTGGAAAGGTACGATCATTGAATTCGCGATTTCGAGCGCAAATAGCGAGATTGCCATCACCATCGCTATCCTCTTTGTGCAACAATTGCAACGCCGATACGTTTCTATTTCCTTTAGATTCATCAACCTTTACCTTTACGTCATCAATACAATGATCGCAATCGCAAGGAGGATCATCTTTGGGAGGTGTGTACGTTTCCACCGTGACAACTATAAATACTAAATACCATATTATGAATTCCATGTACTGTAATTTGATGCGTCAATGTTTCGAAAGCGAAGGTAATTTTATAAATGACCGATTTATAACGAGTGAGTATTAATTTCCCGTGTTTCTATATTTTCAGCTTATTTATTTTAAATGAGACTTTGAAAGTGAAAGCAAAGCTTAAACATGAACGATAGTAATGTTGACTGTTAATTGGAATGTTAATAGTTTACGTGTGTTTGTTATATTGTACGGACTTGTGACGTGTTTGTATAGCATGAAACTCGTGAAATTCGTGTATTTGATACGTAAACCTACATATTATAATTACTTTACACGACGACGACTGCATGGCACGAGACCGGCAAAAACAAAAAAAAAAAAAAAACAGGAAACTACAGAAAAACGAAGTTACAAAATCAATGAACAAGCTCGCAGACGTTACCAGTGCAAACTGAAACTAACCGATGAATATACGATGTTGTATTTAGCGTATTGCAGTGCCGTGTCATAGATTAATTTTCATCATATTTATCGAAACTTTATTTCATATTCAAAAAATTTTTTTAGATAATTTCAACTACTGACAGAATAAATTCGACGATAAAAAATTATTTCCTATTTTTCATTGCGTATAATATATTTTACGCCAATAAAATAAAATAAAATTTATTGAAACAAAAATATTTAAATTAGAAGGTGTAAAAAATTAAAATTTCTCATCAGAGAACGTAAATAAAATATATATGAAATTATTATGGTTATACGTGTATGACTTCAATTAATGTTTATTTATAAAAATAAAAGATAGTCGAAAAGTTGTAGATACGAGTACGTTACTGTTTTATTGTGTGTCAAAGATATCGTCATAGTGGCCTTTGGCATCGGCACACTGACATTTGATATCAACACAACAAAAAAATTCAATACATATCGGAGATATAGTAGCAGACATTTGATCATGAATAAAATATCGTAATCTTTTTTCCACTCTTTGTTATATTTTTTTACGAAGCAAAACTATCTATGTAATGAAAAGCAAATGTATTGTCTACGAGAATGTTTTTTTTTTCCGATTATTTATTATCTTTTTTATACCATGAATTTTCTAAAAAAATATTTTCAAAAACTCAGTATTTATTGAATCGAATGCTACGACTAGTAAAAAATTTAATTTAAATTTAAATTTATTTTTATTTATAGAAAAGTATTTTTCTTTCCATTTTTCTTCCTACACAAATATCATCTTTATGCTAATTCTTTGCACGTCGTAACGTTCTAAATGATATAGTTGTCGGTCTATAGAGACAGAAACAATAACACTGAACTCTCGTTTCCACCTTGACCCGAAAGAGAAAAGAAAAATAACGAACGTTAAAGTTTATCTCCATGAATTAAACTGGTGAATCGTCGGGATCCTATATGCATGTTTAAATAATATCTCCTTAATGAATGCGGAATAATTTGCCGGAAGTTTTCAACAATCGAAACGTGAATGTAAAATGATGGAAAAAAAGAAAAAAATTCATTACAGAATTTTTCTTAAATTATTATTCGTTAAAATTATAATATCTGTATACAAATGAGTGAGTAAAACACTCTTAAACTAAAAACAATTTTGATTCTCTTCCTTGGCGCAAACGGCCAAGAGTTATTTAGAAAAACATTTTTAAGAATATTTAATAACTCGAGAGTAATACGCCGTGACGTATGATAAAACGAAATTCTTTCGTTTAGGCCATTAAGTTTATGAGAGTAATAAAGTTGCTTCACGGGCGAGGTAATTCAATAACAACTTGAACATACAGCCACGATTATTGTAGTAAATTAAACATCCCCACCATCTACCCACCAGCAACGAGTTGAGAAATGTCGATAAAAGTCGAAAGCCGTTTCGACCTGTAACTTAACGCCCGAATCTTTGAAGTTTATTGGCATAACAATAGGTATTTCGTGGTAGCTGACAATTGCATAATGTTGTGACTTATGAACTAATTTACATCTTAATCCGAGAGGGCCATTGTTCAACTCTATTGTTGCTCAAGAGCTCACTTGTGTCTAGGGTGGCAAACTTCGAAGGGCTGTAAAAACACGTCGTATTTACATTCGTCGATTCTCAGTTCTGTCAATGGTGGAGAATACGTGGAGACACTGTATAAAACATTTTTGTTTTATACGATAGGATGAAAAGCGAAAGATAAAATAAAATTTCATCATTTTTTTCAAAAATCGTTTTTTTTTTTTTTTCGAAGTTTCACACGACGAATAAAAGAGTTCAAAGAGTTTTAATCAAATATTTACGAAGAAAGAAATAACCAATTTTTAATTTAATGATGACTTTTTTTTTTTTTTTTTTTTTTTCAATTTATTTTTTTATATTTCAAGAAAACCGATCGATTTATGTCGTATAATAAAAATGTACGCCATCGTTAATTAATTTCGTCATATTTAATCTTCTCTTCGAAATATGGAACGTTCAATTGTACACCAATCTTTAAACGAATAGTAAGCGAGGTTGCCATCGAGCAAACGAATATTCCAATTTTCAGATGACATAGCTCGTCTTTTTCTTTTTTATTCGTCCTTTCTCGTCCGCCACTTGACTCCATTAAGCCGCTTCCAGACCCTGTCGTTCTGCCTTTACATTTTCATTTTCGATAAATTCGTTATAAAGGAGCTCAAACGCAATCAATATTAGCCATCTTATAAATATTCTTCTACTCACAACATTTTATACCGATTGTTCCCGACTGATACTTCTTATATCGAAAATAACTCCTGTTCCACTTTGCGTGAAAGTATCTCTACTAATAATTTCATTAGAGATAATTAAATTTAAAAAAAAAAAAAAATCTTATAAATAAAAATTCTCGAAAAACGGTAAAGCATAAAGATATCTCCTCCTAAAATTTTTAATAAACGTATCTCCTCGGTATTCATTTTAAACCGAAATCCATTCAATTAGATTATTTTTAGGTATTTATTTTCCACGAAATAAAAATATAAAAATATATATTATACATACATTGGAGAGATTGAAGGATATGTTCCCGACCAATTTATTTATTGCTTTTTATTTACCGTATCGGCTTTTTAAAATATTCCATTCATTTTTACCTGTAAGTAATTCCTTTAACTGCTTTCTCCGAGCTAGTTTCGTTTATTCGATTAATATATCGGATTCGAACGAACTTGTACAATCCTGATTAATTCACATGCACGTGTGTACAATAATATATTGGCGTATATTTCGTAATGATCAGTATGAACGCGGCTTTATATGCAACAGAAACGAAACGTGATTTCAAAAGAGGGGTATTGAAGTGATGGATAGTGTGAGGGTTGGCTATGGTAGAAAAAGGGTATTGGAGGGTGAAGAGGCCATGGAAAATTGTCAATCAGTACGAACCATCTAGACTTGATTACAACCCCCAGCATTGGACTTGCAGTTTGTTTCGATGTTTCAGAGATAGCTAGTTGAATTTTTATGCTGAGATAGTGGGGTCCGGTCACTTTTATGTATCTGTTGTGTATCTGCGGTTCACCGGCTCTACAGAGATTTCTTTTACCATTTTTCCTCTCGTTCGCGATAATTTTCAAGGCTGGCGCGACATTATTTATATACTTAGATTGTAAACAAATAGTTTAGATAGAAAAGATGCAGGCCATCAAAGGAAAAATACCGCATTGAATAAATAAACTCTTTGTAAACAAATCACCCAAGAAAATTAAAAGAAAGTTCATTCGTATTACACGGAGATGTGTCAACATAAAAAATTTATATTTAACATTGCGTTTTAATAATTTAAAAAAGAAAAATAAATACTGAAAACTTCCTATTATTGGAATGAAATTTTTCTTCGTAGTTGAATCTATGTACACGTATGCATTCTCATACACACGTACACACGTTTCTAGACAATTCTAATTCTTGATTTCAATCGACTCTCCGACTTTCAATTTCTTTTTCAGTTTATTTTACCATCTCCATTGTTATACGATCAAATCAATTTCAATCAACGTATTCAATGCTGCAAAAATTCAAAAACGATTAAATAGTATTGTCCATATATGCTATCTCTCTTTAAAATGTAGTATCCTCTTTCGAGGAAACTGTCCAAAAATTCTCTCTCTTTCTCTCTTTCTCTCAAATATATATATCTCTCTCTCTTTCTTTCAAATATATATATATATATATATATATACATTCACATCCCATCGAAAATCATTTCCGTAACAAACTTTCTTCTTTCCTTTCTCTGACCCCTTGAAAAGTCAGAAGTCGGGAACAGTTGCCAATGTCATACATACGTAACACAAAGAATAGAAACGCGACGAAGAGAATCAATTGATAAAAGCATACGCGTCGCTTCCAGACACGTGACTGGGCCGTGCCCAATCCCCATTTGTCAACCTATTCACTCCCTATATTCACTGTATTCCCGTGTCAATAATAACGATCAGTGGATGCAAAACCTAGTCCCACGTAGGACCGTGGAACAGTTGTCTACGACCGGCGTGTCTCGCTGCGTAGCACGTGCTCGTGTGATTACGCGGAGTGGGGAGAAGAGGGGGGATAAGAGTTCACACGGGAGAAGGATACGCGAATGTATGCGACACGTACACGTATAAGCGTCAACTATCCTCGATCCATACCTAAAATGAGCCGTAGTAGTAGTTTCGAGCGAGGAAGAGGGAAAGTAAGATGGCTCCTCATCGAGTGTGTACGAAGGCTTAGAAAGGAGTTAAGAAAATCTTTTGAGGGGGAGGGGGGAGGGAAGAAGATCGGATGGGAGAACGATATCGAGTCTATCCGCTCGAGGAAAGTTTGCAATTCATACAGTTCATGCGGAAATTCATTGTATCCGATTAATCCCCTCTCCTCGTCGTTTATCTTCCATCAAAGTTATCTTTAAATTTAGATCGGAGGATAAATTTTGTTTCGAGCATTTCCCCGAGTAAAAATTACACTTCGATACAGTTCGAAAATTTAAAAAATTTTTTAAATACTAGATAAATTTTTTAAATATTTGAGAGATATTTTTCATTCTTTTTTTTTTTTTTTTTTTGAAAAATTCAAAGTAAGAAGAAAGGAAAGGGGAAATTCGTGAATTTGTTATAGATTTTTCACTTGGCCGACTCGATTGGCCGTGTAATTTTATTTCTCGGGCAAACGATGAAATCGTTGTGATTTGTGAGCAATTTGAAAGCACGTGGCCACGATCACCGGAAGCAATTCCTGAAAGAAATTTTCAGATAATACAATTTATCCAGCAGCCGTTGCACACGTGCAATGTGTCAAATAAGAGATTACGGCACGTGCTCGACATTATCGTCGTACAAAAGATTACGTAAACTTGGAAACGATTTTATTCACGCGATATATCGTTGCACTTTATATCTTTATTTTTCATCG